AGTGGTGCCCACTCCCACTCCCACTTCCACCCTTTACTCCTGGACTCGTGAATCCTGACTATGGGAGAAACAGTACCATATGTTGGATGCTGATTCAGAGCATACACAGTCTGCTGGAGAACTTTGCTCCAGCTCTGCAAAGTATTGTCACCTAGTTGGTATTGTAATCGTGTCTTCAAAAGGCCATTCCACCATTCTATCAATCTGCTTCAGGATGATGAGGAATATGGTAAGACCAGTGAATTCCATGAGCATGAGCCCACTGTCGCACTTCTTTAGCCATAAAGTGGGTGCCCTGGTCAGAGGCAATGCTGTGTGGAATACCATGATGGTGGATAAGGCATATCCATGATGGTGGATAAGGCATTCCGTGAGCCCACAGATGGGAGTCTTGGCAGAAGCATTGGGTGCAGGATAGGCAAACCCATATCTGGAGTAAGTGTCCATTCCAGTGAGGACAAACCTCTGCCCTTTCTATGATGGAAGAGGTCAAATATAATCAACCTGCCACCAGGTAGCTGGCTGATCACCCCAAGGAATGGTGTCATATTGAGGGCTCAGTGTTGGTCTCTGCTGCTGGCAAATTGGGCATCCAGCAGTGGCCACAGCCAGGTCAGCCTTGGTGAGTGGAAGTCCATGTTGCTGAGCCCATGTGTAATCTCCATCCCTGCCACCATGGCCACTTTGTTCCTGAGCCCATTGGACAATGACAGAGGTGGCTGGAGAAAGAAACTGAGTGATGTCCACAGAACGGGTCATGCTATCAACTTGATTATTAAACTTCTCCTCTGCTGAGGTCACCAAGCACTCACATGGGATACAAATATCTTCACAGTTTCTGACCACTCAGAGAGGTCCATCCACAAACCTCTTCCCCAAATTTCTTTGTCACCAATTTTCCAATCATGCTTCTTCCAAGTCCCTGACCATCTAGTCAACCATTGGCTATAGCCCATGAATCAATATGTAATCGCACATCTAGCCATTTCTCCTTCCCTGCAAAGTGCACAGTCAAGTACACTGCTCAAAGTTCTGCCCACTAAGATTTCCCTTGGGCCAGGTGCGGTGGCTCATGCCTGTAATCCCAGCACTTTGGGAGGACGAGGTGGGCGGATCACCTGAGGTCAGGAGTTCGAGACCAGCCTGGCCAACATGGAGAAACCCCATCTCTTTAAAAAGAAAAAAAATTTCCCTTTACCACTGTCCTTCAGGGATGTCCTAGAAAGGGGCTGTGGTGCTACAGCTGTCCACTTTTGGGTGGTGCCTGTATATCATGCACCACTTCCATTTGATGATGGAATGCTGCTGTGCATGATCCACTTTATGGCTAGATGGGTCAGAAAGCACCCAGTTCATGATAAGCAGTTAAGGTCACATGGTGATTTCGTGACCCATAGTTAAATGTGCAGTTTCCACCAAGCCCAGTAACAGGCCAAAAGCTATTTCTCAAAAGTAAGGTATTTATCTGCAGAAGATGGCGGGCCTCCCTCCAAAATCCTAGAGGCCTCTGCTGTGATTGACCTATGGGGGCTGCCAAAGGCTCCACACAGCATCCCTCTCTGCTGCTGACACCTCAAGTACATTGGATCTGCTGGGTCACATGGCCCAGTGGCAGAGCAGCCTGGACCTGCTGCAGAGCCTTCTGTTCTGAACCCCACTTGAAACTGACAGCCTTTCAGGTCACTCAGTGAATAAGGTGGAGTAACACACCCACATGAGGAATCAGTTTCCTCCAAAATACAAACAGGCAAACTAGATGTTGTGCCTCTTTCTTGGTTGTAGGAGGGGCCAAATTAAGCAACTTATTCTTTACCTTAGAAGGAATATCTCCCAAGGCCCCACACCAGCGGACGCCTAGAAATTTTACTGAGGTAGGCGGGGCAAGGTGGCTCACACCTATAATCACAGCATTTTGAGAGGCCGAGGTGGGTGGATTATGAGGTCAAGAGATCGAGACCATTCTGGCCAATATGGTGAAACCCTGTCTCTAACTAAAATAAATTTTAAAAAAATTAGGTGGGCGTGGTGGCACACACCTGTAGCCCCAGCTATTTGGGAGGCTGAGGCAGGAGAATCACTTGAACCCGGGAGGTGGAGGCTGCAGTGAGCAGAGATTGCACCCTGCACTCCAGCCTGGCAACAGAGGGAGACTCTGTGTCAAAAATGAACAAATACATAAAAATAAATTTTACTGAGGTAGAAAGTCTCTGAGTTTTAGACTTATCTCCCATCCTGTGGCATGCAAATTTCTTACCAATAAGTCCAGTGTTTTTGCCACTTCTTGCTCACTGGATCCAATAAGCATGATGTCATCATGTAATGACCAGTGTGATATCTTGCAGAAGTGAAAAGTGATCAAGGTGTCTTCAATTAAGATTATGACATACAGCTGGAGAGTTGATACATCCCTCAGGTAGGACAGTAAACATATACTGCTGGCCTTGCCAGCTGAAGGCAAATTGCTTCTAGTGGGCCTTACTGCAGACAGGAATGGAGAAAAAGGCATTTGCCAAGTCAATGGCTGCACACCAGATACCAGGAAATGTGTTAATTTGCTCAAGCAATGAAACCACATCTGGTACAGCAGCTGTAATTAGAGTCACCACTTGGTTAAGCTTATGATAATCCACTGTCATTCTCCAGGATCCATCTGTCTTTTGCACAGGCCAAACGGGAGAGTTGAACGGGGATGAGGTGTGTCTTTTTTTTTTTAAGACGGGGTCTCACCATGTTGGTCAGGCTGGTCTTGAACTCCCAACCTCAGGTGATCCGCCTGCCTTGGCCTCCAAAGTGCTTGGATTATAGGTGTGAGCCACCGTGCCCGGCTGAGGTGCGTCTTTCAAGTCCATGATGGTGGCACTAATCTCTGCAATCCCTCCAGGGATGTGATATTGTTTTTGATTTAGTATTTTTCTAGAAAGAGGCAGCTCTAATGACTTCCATTTGGCCTTTCCCACCATAGTAGCCCTCACCCTACCAGTCAGGGAGCCAATGTGGGGGTTCTGCCAGCTGCTAAGTATGCCTATGCCAATTATGCATTCTGGTACTGGGGGAATGACCACAGAATGAGTCTGGGGACCCACTGGACCCACTGTAAGTTGGACGTGAGCTAAAACTCCAGATGACCTCCATAAGCCGTACTTTTAACTGGAGGACCACAATGACGTTTTGGGTCCCCTGGAATCAACATCAGTTCAGAGCCAGTGTCCAGTAGTCCCTGAAATGTCTGATCATTTCTCTTTCCCCAGGGCACAGTTACCCTGGTAAAATGCTGGAGGTCTTCTTATGGAAGAATGGGAGAAAGATTCACTGGATAAATTGTCAGTAAACGGCTGGGTGCTGAAGTTCATGCCTGTAATCCAAACACTTTGGGAGGCTGGGGTGGGCAGATCATGAGGTCGAAAGATGGAGACCATCCTGGTCAACATGGTGAAACCCTGTCTCTACTAAAAATACAAAAAATTAGCTGGGTATGGTGGTGCGCGCCTATAATCCCAGCTACTCAGGAGGCTGAGGCAGGAGAATTGCCTGAACCCAGGAGGCGGAGGTTGCAGTGAGCCGAGATTGCACCATTGCACTCCAGCCTGGGTAACAAGAGTGAAACTCCATCTCAAAAAAAAAAAAAAAAAATGCAGGTGCTAAGGCCAGGCGCGGTGGCTCAAGCCTGTAATCCCAGCACTTTGGGAGGACAAGATGGGTGGATCATGAGGTCAGAAGTTCAAGACAAGCCTGACCAAGATGGTGAAACCCCATTTCTATTTAAAAAAAAAAAATGCAGGTGCTGCCCTCACAAATCTATTTCACAAGGCATTGATCAATGGTATAGCTTCTGGACCCTCCCAGCTGGGATGAGTAGGTCTAAAGTGACTAATCCACTCCACCATCCCAATCTCCCTAAGCCTTTGGATCTCTTCCTCAACATTAAACCTCGGGAGATCAGGCATTTCCAGCTTCCTCACAGTGGGCAATCATTTGCCATCATTTAGCCCCTATTTCGGCTAACCAAGCAAATAAACTACTAGAACCTTTTTTTGAGGGGGACGGATTACAGGCTTGAGCTACCACACCTGGCCTCAATTATTTTAATCTTTGAATAACTTCAGAAGTCTGGGGTTCCTTTTTTCTTTTTTTTTGAGACGGAGTCTCCCTCTGTAACACAGGCTGGAATGCAGTGATCTTGGCTCACTGCAACCTCCACCTCCCGGGTTCAAGCAATTCTGCCTCAGCCTCTTGAGTAGCTAGGATTACAGGCATGAGCCATCATAACCAGCTAATTATTTTTATATTTTTAGTAGAGATGAGGTTCCACCATGTTTGCCAGACTCCTCTCCTGGACTCAGGCAATCTACCGGCCTTGGCCCCCCAAAGTGCTGAGTGCTGGAATTACAGGTGTGAACCACCCTCCCGGCCACCATCCACGTTCACGGCAGAGCCCAGGATGGTATTCTGTAGAAAGATCCTCGTTTGGGGTCTTGTTCGCTTTTGAACCCACTCCAGAAAATCTCTTGTTCTTTTTCCCGGCACTCCACGACACTGCTTTCGTCAAGGTTCCTAAATCCAATGGCTACTTGTCAAGCTTCAACTTCCTTGACCCATCAACAGCTTTCCACATAGTTGAGCGTTCCCTGGATCCAGACATACCTTCTGGGCTTGGTTTCCGGAACACGTAGCCCTCCTGGTTTTCCTTCTGCCAGTTCCTCCTTGATTTGGAGAGCCCCAGGGCTCATTCTTCACCCCTCTGCTGCCTTCCGGCTACACATTCTTTCTGGTTGGGAGGCACTCCTCCAGACTCATGGTCTCCAAAGAGTCCCAGCCTGGAGTCCAGAATGGCACATCCAGCGGCCTGGCTGACACCTCTGCTTGGCCGTCTGGCTTCCCGCCTCTCTAGCTCGTCCTCTCCAAAACCGATCAGGACATCCCGCGCCCTCCCCCACTCCCTACTCCCAACCCCCCAGTCCCCCAATCCCGAAGCCACAAACCTAGTCCTCGCCCAACTCTGAATGCGGCAGTCGCTCTGGCCTACACCCTTGGAGCCACCCTCCACTCCTTTCTCTCACCCCCATCCCAACTCTCCGCAAAGGCCGTCAGCTCTGCTTTCAGAGTACAGCCAGCATCTGGCCACCTCTCGGCCCCCGCACTGCCCCACCCGGGCCCAGGCCCTCGCTGCCTTCCCGTTTCTCTGCCCAGGCCCCAGTAGCCGGTCCGAACTCTCGCGTTCCCAGGGAGGTGGTGGTCGCGCTCACGGCGCAACCGCCCATCCTCAGGGCGCCCCCTCCGAGGGAGGGGAGCCCACGAGGCCCGGCCAGATCCGACGCCCTCCGCGGTCACATCCCAGACCCCTGCCCCTCCCGCCCAGGCCCCCGCCCCTCCCTCGCCCCGTCCTGACCTGCGTCAGGCGAGGAGGCGGTGAGAGGAATCCGCGTCCCAAGAAAAGAGGCAGCTTTCCCTACACGGCACGGGACACGGTCCGTGCACAGATGCCACGGGAGGCGCGGGCGCTGGGGAGAATCCTTGCTGGGCCCTCGCCGTCCACGCGCCGCCTCCCTACATCCGGTATCTGGTGGTCAGCCTTCTGCCTGGCAGAGGGAAATGAGCCCCCAGTCCAGCAGGTACGAGGCTGGTCTCCCCACCCGATGGTGACGAACTAAAGACCCAGCGCAGCCTGGTCTCTTATGATGATGCCTTGCGACCTCGTCTTTCTCCAGGAAAACGTGGACCGCTCTCCGCCAACAGCTCTTTTCCACAGACCCATCTTGCCTTCGCCCCGCAGTCTCTTTGGGTTCTGTCTTTTGGCTGGATTGACCCGAACAAGGAAGTCGCCCCCAGCGGAGCCCCGGCCCTTGATGCGGAGGCGGCCAGGGGGCGGAGTGAAACGAGGTGATCACGCCTCCTGGGGGAGAGGGCGGGGCATGCAAATTTGAAATGAAAGCCCGGAAACGCGGGAATAGCAAGGGTATAAGATTTCTCTTTTAAAACGTGGAGAATAAAAAAATCAGCCCGAGTGTGTAATGGCGCGAATAGCGATGTGGATGTGACAACGAGAATGAGGCGAGGAGCGAGGCTGGGGCTCTCACCGCGACTGTAATGTGGATGACGGCGGGACGGTGACGGCGGGGACGAGAACGACAGCATCGCTTCTCGGCCTTTTGGCTAAGATCAAGTGTAGTATCTGTTCTTATCAGTTTAATATCTGATACGTCCTCTATCCGAGGACAACATATTAAATGGATTTTTGGCGCAAGGAGTTGGAATAGGAGCTTGCTCCATCTTCTCCACGCATCGACCTGGTATTGCAGTACTTCCAGGAACGGTGCACCCCCTCGAGGGTAAACTGCTGTGTTCCTGAAAATAGACTACTTCCTGTTACGTCTTTAAGTTCTTCCCCAGTAAACTCTTCTGCTTGGCGGTGAGTGAAGGTTCTCTGATGAGGAAAGGCTGCAGTGTTATTCTGTTTTGGACTTCAACTATTCGTTGCTGTTAATGTAACACACCAGTTTCGGACTCATGCAGCTAAAACGTTAAGAAAAGAAATTACTTAGGTAGCAAGCGATTTTCTTTAGTCTTCCCCGTTATCTAACGTTCCGGTTACTTCTGTTCTTAGGGTTCTTTTCTCTCCTTTTTCTTCATGTCAAGTCTCGCTTTGTTGCCCAAGCTCGAGTGGAGGTGGCGCGATCTCCGCTCATTCTAACTTCCAGTTCCCGGGTTTAGGCTATTCTCCCGCCTCGGCCTCTCCACTACTTGGGACTACAGGCATGCACCACCGCGCCCGGGTAACTTTTCTCCCTCAAAAATATAAACAACGAAAAATAGAAATACAACTGGACAGCTCCAGTTCTGGAATACAACTTGGCACATATGAGGGGCTCAGACAATACGTGCCATGGGCCAAGCCCTGTGGAGAACCACCCAGACAGGGCCCTGCGGTCAAGTTCATGCTGTATCTCCTTTTCCTTGGATGTTGTGAGAATAGGGAGCCATGGAGGGCTTGGGAGGCAGAGAAGGGATGAACTTCCTCGGCTAGTGCACAAAGTAACTCCCCTATCCCCAACCAGAGTCTGCAGCTGCCGCTGCCTCCCCAGGCCTCTCCAACTCTAGTCCCCAATAAGGCTGGCCCAGAACAGGAATAGAGTGGCCCACAGCTTCTTCGAGGACAGAGAGGGTGGCTGCAGCTAAACCTGGCTTGGCAGGTGGCTCACTGAGGCAGGGCAGAGCTTCAGCTGGGGGTAGGGCCTGGGGGCCAGACACCTGGGTTTCTGAGCTTCCCTGGCTCTGCCTCACTCTCTCGTGGCCTCAGGAGGGGCTGGAGCCTCGCTGAGCCTCTGTAACCTCCAGGAGAAGCCCGCTGCCCTAGGCATGAAGATACACAAGTTCTGATAAACATTGTATAGCCGATGTATATATAGACCCTCCCACCTGGTTTCCAAAAGGATTTGCAACAGCTTTCACAAGAGGCAAAGAAATGAGCATTGACAGTGAGCCAGGGTTTACACATGGGGCCCTCACGTCACAGGCCTGGGGGACTAGAACAGGGATAAGAAGATAGAATCCAGATCCCTCCAGGAATCGCATGTGTATGAGAGTGAGCTCCCCATCAGAGCAGCTATGCAAACAGAGGCCAGTGTAGTGTGAATCTCCCCGAAGCTGGAGTCCAGTGTAGTGTGATCTTGGATCACTGCAATCTCCGCCTCCCGGGTTCAAGCTATTCTCCTGCCTCAGCCTCTCTAGTAGCTGGGACTTAATACAGACGCTTGTCACCACGCTTAGCTAATTTTTGTATTTTTAGTAGAGGCGGGGTTTCACCATGTTCCTCAGGCTGGTCTTGAACTTCTGGGCTCAAGTGGTCTACCCGCCTCAGCCTCTCAAAGTGCTGGGATTACAGGCGAGAGCCAGAGAGCCACTATGCCAGCCTCAGGAAGGTTTTCTTTTTCTTTCTTTTTTTTTTTAAGTAGAGACGGGGTTTCACCATGTTGACCAGGATGGTCTCGATCCCTTGACCTAGTGATCCACCCGCCTCGGCCTCCCAAGCTGCCCAAGGCCTTCCCCTGGCACGGGCGAACAGGGCCTCCTCAGAGCACACTGGGACACCCAGTCCTGCCCGCCACCTTTACGGGTGTCATTTCATCTTTTGATTTTTAAAAATTTATCCTGTTGATTTTTTTCTTTTGCTTTCTGGGTTTGGCTTTTCTTGCATGGTTTGCAGCTGATCAATTCTCCCCCATCCCCTAAGGCACCAGCAGGCAGAGCCTCACACTGCTCCAGCTGGGGTCTAGTGGGAGGGGCCCAAGTCTCTGCTCAGCGAAGTGCAAGGGGAGCCTTCCAGCTTACTCTCCTTGAGGACTGGCTCCATAGGGGCTATGGATTTGCTTTGGTGGTGTTTTAAAAAAAAAGAAAATATATTTTTTTGAAAAAAGGACTGCCCATCCCGGGTCCTTTTCTGTTGGGTTGGGGCAGGTACCTGGTTGCTGTTTTAATTAAAAAAAGATAAGGACTAAAGGTTGTGTGAGTCTACGTGACACCTGCGAGCCCCACTCTTACTCGGGGAAGGTTGTGGTGCCTTGAGGGACCCTTGCCTCTGGGCTAGGGCCAGGGTGGTGTGTTCAGGGGAGGGAGTGGCTCACACTTGTAATCACAGCACATTGGGAGGCCAAGGTGGGAGGATCGCTTGAGCCCAGGAGCTTGAGACCAGCTGGGGTGACATAGCGACACCCTATCTCTACAAAAAAGCCAGGTGTGGTCGTGCATGTCTGTAGTCCCAACTACACCAGGAGCTGAAGTGGGAGGACAGTTTGAGCCCAGGAGTTTGAGGCTGCAATGAGTGGTGATCACCACTGCACTCCAGCCTGGGTGACAGATTGAGACCCTGTCTTGATTCAAAAAAAGAAAAAAGAAGAACAAATCACCTAGTTTGTGGTATTTTGTTATAGCAACAATGAAACTGATGAAGACAGGTCCCCAACGCCAGCATTATCTCATCCTGGCTTACTTGTGGAGAAGGGCTGTGGTGGGCAGGCAGGACCAGTCATCTCATCTTCCAACATGGGCTTCACATCTGACCACACCTCTCCCTGATGTACCAGTCCCCTCAACCATAGCCCCACCAGGGCCTGCTGGCCTCTGCTTGCATAGCTGCTCTGATGGGGAGCTCACTCTCATACACATTCGATTCCTGGAGGGATCTGGGTTCTATCTTCTTTTTTTTTTTTTTTTTTTTAATTTTTCATTGGATTATAGGTTTTGGGGTACATGACCAGAGCATGCAAGACAGTTGCGTAGGTACACACATGGCAGTGTGCTTTGCTTTTCTTCTCCCCTTCACCCTCATTTGGCATTTCTCCCCAGGCTATCCCTCCCCACCTCCCCCTCCCACTGGCCTTCCCCTTTTCCCCCCAATAGACCCCACTGTTTAGTACTCCCCTTTCTGTGTCCATGTGTTCTCATTTTTCATCACCCACCTATGAGTGAGAATATGCGGTGTTTCATTTTCTGTTCTTGTGTCAGTTTGCTGAGGATGATGTTTTCCAGATTCATCCATGTCCCTACAAACGACACGAACTCATCATTTCTGATTGCTGCATAATATTCCATGGTGTATATGTGCCACATTTTTCCAATCCAGTCTATTATCAATGGGCATTTGGGTTGATTCCGGGTCTTTGCTATTGTAAACAGTGCTGCAATGAACATTCGTGTACATGTGTCCTTATAGTAGAATGATTTATAGTCTTTTGGATATATACCCAGTAATGGGATTGCTGGGTCAAATGGAATTTCTACTTCTAAGGCCTTGAGGAATCGCCACACCGTCTTCCACAATGGTTGAACTAATTTACACTCCCACCAACAGTGTAAAAGTGTTCCTTTTTCTCCACATCCTCTCCAGCATCTGTTGTCTCCAGATTTTTAATGATCGCCATTCTAACTGGCGTGAGATGGTATCTCAATGTGGTTTTGATTTGCATCTCTCTGATGACCAGTGACGCTGAGCATTTTTTCATATGATTGTTGGCCTCATATATGTCTTCTTTCGTAAAGTGTCGGTTCATATCCTTTGCCCACTTTTGAATGGGCTTGTTTGTTTTTTTCCTGTAAATCTGTTTGAGTTCTTTGTAAATTCTGGATATCAGCCCTTTGTCAGATGGGTAGACTGCAAAAATTTTTTCCCATTCTGTTGGTTGCCGATCCACTCTAGTGACTGTTTCTTTTGCCGTGCAGAAGCTGTGGAGTTTCATTAGGTCCCATTTGTCTATTTTGGCTTTTGTTGCCAATGCTTTTGGTGTTTTGTTCATGAAGTCCTTGCCTACTCCTATGTCCTGGATGGTTTTGCCTAGATTTCCTTCTAGGGTTTTTATGGTGCCAGGTCTTATGTTTAAGTCTTTAATCCATCTGGAGTTAATTTTAGTGTAAGGTGTCAGGAAGGGGTCCAGTTTCTGCTTTCTGCACATGGCTAGCCAGTTTTCCCAACACCATTTGTTAAACATGGAATCCTTTCCCCATTGCTTGTTTTTGTCGGGTTTATCAAAGATTGTATAGTTGTATGTATGTTGTGTTGCCTCCGGTGCCTCTGTTTTGTTCCATTGGTCTATATCTCTGTTTTGGTACCAGTACCATGCTGTTTTGATTACTGTAGCCTTGTAGTCTAGTTTGAAATCCGGTAGTGTGATGCCCCCCGCTGTGTTCTTTTTGCTTAGAATTGACTTGGCTATGCGGGCTCTCTTTTGGTTCCATATGAAGTTCATGGTGGTTTTTTTCCAGTTCTGTGAAGAAAGTCAATGGTAGCTTGATGGGTATAGCATTGATTCTGTAAATTACTTTGGGCAGTATAGCCATTTTCACGATGTTAATTCTTCCTAACCATGAACATGGAATGTTTCTCCATCTGTTTGTGTCCTCTCTGATTTCGTTGAGCAGTGGTTTGTAGTTC